TATACACGGCGCCAAATCCCAGAAGACTGCTTTCTTCATAGTCACCGCCGTGAAAGCCTCAAATCTTACAAATTCAATTCAATTCATATCCTGAGCCAGATGAATCCAATCCATCCCATCCTAATGTGCTTCGTAACTAATTAGAAATAATTATGTATTTATGTTTTACTTTTATTTGTAGTAAGTACTGGTATGGAAAGTCTCTGACTTCTGTGTGTTTGGGCTACACAAATCCATAGATACATAGATGCACAAGTACTGTTTGTTTTTATGTGTAGAAACAGTTGAGGCACTTTTGACTTGTGTGGTCAATAGAACTGGTTTATATATTATAAGGTGGTATGTTATGATGCATTTTTATTGTACATATACTTGTGCTGTGTTTTTGTGTTAAAATTGAAATTGCTTTCCATACAATTTTCATAACTCTGCGCCTAATCATTCCACTACATACTGAGTAAATTTTCATTTTCTTCACATGTTGTTTCTATAAGCACTGTTTGTTTAGCTTTAATTGTCTATTGCAAGGAACCTATATGCCAAGAAATATATCACATTAAACACTGTTGGACTTCAGCTTTTGTGGAAAAGAGTAAATTAACCCAATAAGTTTGGGCCTTAGTGTATTTTTATGCAAGTTCTAACTAGTAATAAGTTGCACAAGTAGAAAAACATGTTCATTGCTGGCCAGCATGGTGGTCATGATTGTTTCTGTAATGAAATAATTCATTGTATCACTTTTGAATTGTGTTAAATATGATCACCATAGTTCGCTTGCGGACTACAGGCCACGGAGTAGTATATGCTTCTAGTACCATCTTGCTTGTTAAGCATGAAGCCTGTAATTTGTCTCCTGTTTGTATGGTCCAGAATTTTTACCATGAATTTCCTATGTTGAGGAAATAGTACTATGACAAAAGAGAACTAGAAGTCAGACGTTTCCTATTGTTGTGTTAGCACTTTTGTTGCCATGATTCAGTTCTGTGTTTCAGCAAAACCATGCCCATGACTGCAGCAGCAACTTCCTCACAGGACCAACATGAAGAAGATCAGGATGAATTTGGACCTCAGCTGATAACTAAACTCCAGGTGTGTTGATGTGTACTCTTCTGAAGAATTTGTTGTGTTCTTGAAGTTCATGGATGTGTGAAAAACAAAGTCTACAATCGTCTTTGTTTGTAGATATTACTGCATGCATGGAGGTATTGCTCCACATATTCTTAACCTTGGCAAGTGCTCAGATTCATTCTTCAGCCCCTGGATGGGAGTCTGGGTAGAGTCTGGAGCCAGTTTATTGTTAGGGCAAAACTGTTGGTTGGGCTACTGCCCTGGTAATTCCTCCATGTATTGCATGGTATCTTAGTGAAGCCAACACTAGAAGAAAGTTCTGCACAGATCCCATGGTGTGAGGTTGGCAGTTTTGCCCAAGTTCGTGTAGCTTCAGACTGTTATTTGTTACAGTCGCAGGGAATCAGTGCTGCTGATATAAAGAAACTGAAGGATGCCGGCTACCACACAGTTGAGGCAGTGGCTTTTGCACCGAAGAAAGAACTTCTAGCAATCAAAGGGATAAGCGAAGTTAAGGCAGATAAGTTCCTGGTATGTTTCATTGCCATCCAGCAGGGTATGTTGGGACATAGCACAGACATGGCCCTGCCTGAGAATTATTATGGAAGGAAATAATTTTGATTTGTATTTTATTTGTTTTGTGAAGCTCATTTCCCTCGTGCCTACCCCAAGTGTTACACTCCATGCTAAAGAGGGGCCAGCCTGGATCTAGGCCCTTCATGTAGCCTGTACTTATCAGTTGCATTTAACACAGCACTGTTAAATAAGCAATAACAACCCTTCTCTGTTTCCTTCAGTAAAGTTCTCTTACGTTAGTTAATACTGCTCACAAACAAATTCTGAGTGTTGCCAGATCACTGCTGATGCTTCCATTTGTGACAGACATGCTCTCTCAGACAGTGTTGTCTTTCTTTATTGCAAAGCATGGAACCAGGAGTAGCAGGCAATTACAGACACTGCACTAGGCTGTAGAGAAGTTCATGTCATTCCCATAACAGAAAATTCATTCATATGCTATATTTATTTGTTTGTGTAGAACAGTGTTGTCTCAGCTACAGTGTTTTGAAGAAAATTAATGTTTATGTGGTTAGTCATGTGTAGGTTGTCCAGAAAGTAAAGACTGTTTGGTGATTAATCACATAAATAAATGAATTAGAAAGATTTTAATTTACATCATTACTGTAGACCTTAAATATTTTTCTACATAATCCCATTGAAGATTCAAGCACTTGTCATATTGTGTGATGAGTTTTCTGTATTCCTGCATCATAGAAATCTGCCGCCAGTCCATTGAACCAGCCTTGAACAGTCTTCACTTCCTCATTACTACCCTTGCATGTTCTGCCCAAAACTGCTCAAAGTGTGTGGACAAGCAATAATCACTTGCAGCCAGGTCTGGACTGTAAGGAAGATGGGAAAAAAATATCCCAGGCAAAGTCAGCTAGTATTTGGTATGCACAAACGGTCTTTACTTTTTGGACTATCCTCGTAGCTTTCCAGTGTAGTGATGAAAGTTAACATGTTGGATGGTGATATGCTACTTCATTACTGGTTACAGTGAACAGGGCCACTAATGATCAAAGCGTAATCTGTTTTAACTTCCAGACCGAAGCCTCAAAACTTGTTCCAATGGGCTTCACAACTGCCACAGAATTTCATCAGAAACGTTCCGAGATAATACAGCTGACAACAGGCTCCCAAGAGTTGGATCGACTGCTGGGTGGGGGTATTGAAACAGGGTCCATCACAGAGATATTTGGCGAATTTCGCACAGGGAAAACACAGCTCTGCCACACCCTTGCAGTGACTTGTCAGGTGTGGCTGCCATTTTTATACAGAGTGCGTGAAGCAAACACACAGTCTGTCAGTTTGTCTACATTTTGTTTTTGAAAATGCTTGGCAGAGTTTCGTACACTGAAATTTATCTGGTACACATAATACCAGTTCACATTGTCGAGTACAACCTCTACATTACATGAAGTTCGGTTAATTTGTTCTCAAAAATTGTTCATTAGGCAAAATAATTAAAAGTAGGTCTCATTAAGATCGACTTTTATTTGAAAGGAATTACTTTTTGTATTGCATACTTAAAAATATGTGATGTGTGACTGGCTTTGCAGCAGTAAATCTTCATCTGGACTAAATGAACATCAAAGTGAACGAGGTATGTATTCATATTTCATATTCAGGGGTTTAGGCTGCCTAGGTTGGTTCCTGTTGAATAGCATATTAGGCAACAGATGTTTTGAAAATGTGGCACAGTTCAATATTTGGGAACAACTATAAGAAATCAAAACCTGAATCAGGAGGAAATTAAGACGATATTGAACTCAGGTAATGCTTCCTACCATTCAGTCCATAACCTTTTTTGTCTTCTCGTCTGCTATCCAAAAACAAAAATTAGAACACACAAAACTATAATTCTGCCTGTGGTTCTGTATGGTTGTGAAACTTGGACTCTGACATTAAGGGAGGAACATAGTCTGAGAGTGTTTGAGAACAGGTTATTGAGCAGAATTTTTGGACTGAAGAGCAATGAAATGAAAAGAGGTTGGAGAAAACTGCATAATGAGGAGCTTCATAACTTGTACTCTTCTTCAAGTATAATTAAAATGATCAAGTCAAGGAGGATGAGCTGGGGTAGGGCATGAAACACAAATAAGGGAGAAGAGAATATTTGTGGCAAGACCAAGACATAAGTGGGTGGGTAATGTAAAAATGGATCTTAGAGACATAGGATGGGATGGTGTGGACTGATCTGGCTCAGGATAGGGACCAGTGGAGGGCTCTCATGAACATTGTAATGAACCCTAGGGTTCCATAAAATGCTGGGAAGTAGTTGAGTCGCTGCACAATTGACAGCTTCTCAAGAAGGGCTCAGCTCCGTGAGTGAGTGATACCCTGCCTCATTGCTATCTCATGTGTTTTGGAATACATTTTGTGTGAGACACTTGCACCATTATTGTGCAAACCCCTAACGTGTGCTCAGGGAATTTTCCACTTTTCGGCCCTCAAATACTCTCCTGGATTAATTGGTGCTTCATAGATCATCTTTGTGCTTTCTCCTGTGGCACACATCAAATTCTGACACAGTAAATTCATGACCAGCCACTCTGCTGACATGTTTTTGTGTGCATTCTAAAAAATAAAGGTAAATCTATCCCCATAACAGGCTGTGGAGGTGCATAGGGCTTTGAGACATCAAGGCTTCCACAGTTTCAAGAGAGTTAGCTCACAGATGGCGGTGAAGTTGTCAGCCTTCGCCAGCTGTCTTTTACCATCAGGAAGATTCCTGGTACTCAGTTCTGTTAGAGGGTCAGTGAACACTAGGACCATAGTGCGACTAGAAGGATCAGGTCAATTGAAAATCCAGTGATCTCATCAGGAATTGAACCAGTGACTTTCCAGCTTGTAGCATAGTATCTCAAAGAACTACATTACCGTGAGGTGCATTCTATTACATTTAATTCAATATCTTCCACATATCTTCATTATTTCACTTTATTCATCATGGAATATCATGAAATATCACTTGCACACTTTGCTACAGTTTTGCTCTTAGTCTACAGATGCTAACACTGAATATGAATGCTGAATACACAGTAGGTGCATATTGTAGCAGGTACCATGGATAAAGTTTGCAAATTCCTGGGTTGCTCAAACTGTGGAGAAACCTGATGCATGTAAGACACTTCAGCTATATATGCATAATCAGCAGGGCCCGGATTTTGATGACATGTCATCTTTTTTTCCTTGTATCCTATGCGATGCTCTTAAATATATAAATCTCGGATATGAGCTGCTGGTTACAGATATGTAAATTTTTTAGGTAATTTTTTGACATTTTTAGGTTTAAGGTCATTTTTTCATTTTGGGGGTAATATTTTGGTAATTTTTTGGACTTTTAAGGGTATTTCTTGTCATTTTTGGCCATTTTAGGGAATTTTTCTTCATATGTTTTCTGAAATATGAATAACATGGAAGTGAAATATTCTTTCTTTTCTCCTTTAGTTCATTTTTCTGGATTTTTTCGGTCACTTTATAGGTCATTTTTTTTAATATTTTCAGGTCATCAAAAGCCAGGCCCTGCATATTACATTTTTGGGTCATATTTTAGGTAATTTTTCAGTCATTTTATAGGTAATTTTTTAAATATTTTCAGGTCATCAAAATCCAGGCCCTGATAATCAGTATGCAAGTGGAATATTGTAAATTTGCTATAGACTAAAAAGAAATGCGTGATATATTCAAGGATATTTTTTTCTTAATTTCACAATAAAAAATTGGGTGCATGAATTGTGCAAGTGCAAAAGTTGTGTGAATATGGACTGTACTATACGTAAGACAGTACTGTGATAGCTGAAAGACTGGTTTTGAAATTTTGATGGATTTACACATTTTGTACCACCCTGAATAGGAATATGTGGTTTTTCTATGTCATCTGTTTCTACATGTGGTTGTGTACACATATGCAGCATCTATCTTTGCATGGATTTTGTATGTGCACATGCGCATGAGAGACAAATTGTCAATGTAGTTTTGTCAAGTCAGTGAATGCCTTAGTGCCATTGTTTTACAAGATGTCTGCCCATAAAACCTTTATTGCCATAGAAAGTATACTCGGAATTTCTTCCTTCTTCTTCTTTAGACAATTCCACTTTATGTGGTTCATGTAGTAACCAACCTCTGTGTCCCTCTGCTTTCCCCAAGACTGCTCCTCAAATTGTTACCCTTCCAAAGTTCATCCATCTGCATGATGTCTTTTGTAACCTGTTTTTTCCATCTTTATCTTTATTTTCTTTATGCATTCTTGGGACTTGAAATGACAGGTGTAGTGACAAATGTATTGCCAGGTGTTTCTGCATAGCACATGACAGGAAATGAAAACCAAATTAGTGTCTGTTTACTGTTTTTTGCAAATTATCTGAATAATGAGAGTTATGCAGTAGACTTGGATGCCAGTGGTTTTGCTCTATATGTCATATTTGAACATATTTTTTGTGGAAGGAATGTCTTAATATTTAGATAAAAATGGAGGTTTACAAGGTATCATGCCTTTTGATTGATCGTTGCAAATGAGCAGTGTGACCTCATAGTGCTCAATCTTAAACTGAGGTCTTAGACTCTCAACAGTCACTGATAACATTGCCTCCTACAGCTCCCCATAGACCAGAATGGTGGTGAGGGGAAATGCCTCTACATTGATACAGAGGGAACATTCCGGCCAGAGCGACTTCTGGCGGTTGCAGAGCGCTACAAATTATCAGGGAATGATGTGCTGGACAATGTGGCTTATGCAAGAGCATACAATACAGACCACCAGACGCAGCTTCTTGTAGTGGCATCTGCCATGATGGTAGAGTCCAGGTGAGCAGTATGACTTGGAAATTTGGTTTGAAAGAGGTCATTTGTGTGGTGGTAACTGTTGTATCTGTGACAGGTATGCTCTGCTGATAGTGGACAGCGCAATGAGTCTTTACAGAACCGATTACTCTGGACGGGGAGAGCTAGCTTCTAGACAAACACACCTGGCACGTTTCCTTCGTATGTTGCTGCGATTAGCAGATGAGGTAAAAAACTTGCCACAAAAGATAAAATTCACTAAAATGGAGCTAAATATGAAACCAAAATCTACGAAGGGATCTTGTTTTAAATGGTTCAGAGATTCAGTAATTGGGAGCAACAGTAACGAATAAATTAAAAATAGAAGGAGAAGAATTATTTCATAACATGCTTTGAAAGCAGTTGTATGTTCATATATACACACACACACACACACATAACTACATTTGATCAGCTGTCTTCATGGTAATACAGTTTGGATCCGCCCAAGCTACATGAAGTTAACCAAATGTAGCATAAGAGATTCAAATCAGGAATGAGCACTGTGATTGATTCCAACCCAGCTGTGTGCTTCAAGCAAATGTGGTTTATATCAAATGGCAGGCATTCATGCCACTGATGTTGAGTTTTCAAAACAGTTGGCTCTAGTTATTTTCATCATTTTCAGTTTGGAGTGGCTGTGGTGATCACAAACCAGGTTGTGGCACAAGTTGATGGTGCCTCCCTGTTTGCTGCAGATCCCAAGAAGCCTACTGGGGGCAACATCATGGCCCACTCTTCGACCACAAGGTAGGGAACCATCTTGCATGTTGTAATTAATTGCCTTAAAAGGTTCAAGCTTTTTCTCACATTTTCCATAACAGCCCTCAACACAAGAGAAGGCCCTGGCAACTGCAGTTCATTGTTGTAATTCTGTATTCACTATGTTCAGAGCTTTATTGCCTGTTGCATACATACTGTAACATTTATCATTATTAGAAATGGTTATTTTCTCACCATCAGTAGATGCCTTGATGCCAGTTGGTTATTGTCCATTGCTATTTCACCACAGTGCCACTTGCATCTTCTCTCTCCTTTGTATGGAACTAACTTTTCTCAATCCACAGGATGCACTGTTTCATGCCTGTTTCTCTCTGTGCTAATTGCACACATCTGTACTGCCTAGTAGTGTGACTCACTCATCTCTTTTTGCCTTGCAACCATGGTTTATACATGTTATAACTTTAAGAATATTAGGGTGCTAGTGTAATCAATGTGGCCCACTGGTTTACTAGGGAGGTCCAGGAGAGAAGGGGTGGTGCACGTAGATGTCTCCTGCCCCTCATTCACATGTGCTCTTAGCTAATGCAGTGGTACAGAATTCTTTTATTCAGTGCCAGTCCTGATCTCCCTGTGTTCACCACTGTTCCATTGCTTTGTGTTCGTGTTTCCTAACTTTCTATATAATTGCCTTCAGAGAGTCACCTTATTGGCACTACATTGCTAAATGTACAGAGTAGGGTTTCCTGTTACTTTCAGTGCAAGTCCAGGTACATGCAATGTTTAACTCAGTCTATTCAAGATATAATGCTGTTTTCAAACTCTTATGAAGTTTATAGCTCTGTAAATGTACTACAGAAATTATAATAGGTCTGAGGCTTCTCTATATAAGATCTTCACAAAATTACAAATCTTAACTGTTTAAGAGCACTGACAGTTTTCAGCTGATAACACCATTTAGCACAAATGAAATGACTCTTCACAGTAAAATGCTTAAAAAAAACACTCTCACTGCACCTCAAACTTAATATTTGCAGATGTTTTAAATAATGGTTACATGGACACAATAATTTCCCTTACCCCCCCAAAAATAAAATATCACCTTTTGAAAAATATGAGGTCAAATGTCAGGTTTGAAGACCTTCAAAACACAGTTGTGCTGAACATACTGGTGTAACAGGCCACTGGAAAGAACATCTTATTTGCTTTGCAATTCAAATAAAACAAGCTCTGTCTGAGGGCAGAAGTGATGCCTCTTTTTCTAAGATAACCTGTGCCCAAAAAACGAATTTTTTTTTGTTGCATCTTTGGTTATCTATCATAATCTAGTGAGCATAAAACAATAATATTTGGCAGTAATACTTATTTCCATTGGGACCAAAGTCTCGCAAAAGATCATTCGTTTTTGAGGTGGTTGGGTTATGTCCTGTGTTGATTTGACATGGAATGACCCACAGATGTTAACCACTATTAACAATGTTCACAGGCTGTACTTGAGGAAGGGGCGTGGTGAAACTCGCATTTGTAAAATCTATGACTCACCTTGCTTGCCAGAAACAGAAGCCATATTTGCCATCAATGCAGATGGAATTGGTGATGCTAAGGAGTAAACAGGTAGTCCTGATATGTGGGCTTTGTGTAGCCAACATGGTTGTCTCTCAGCAAGCTTCAGAAATAGCAGTGTCACTGAAATTACTGTGAGCTCTTTTTTGCCCACAGATCAGTGACTGACAGGTGACTGTTAGTGTGCATGAAGAATGTTGTCATTGAGCACCAGGAATAGGACTGCGCTCCACAAACTGCCTGGGCCTTGTTCAGTCCCAACAGGGCAGCCAGCCAGCAAAGAAATGCATTCCAAATCTATAGATCTGCTCATATGTTTAAATTCTCAGTCCTTATTTTATACAAGTGTGATAATTAATTCCAGAAACCACAACTTGGAACTAAGTATTATACTTAGTGCTTTGGTGATATTCTTAGTGACAGTGAGATTTTTCAGAAATGGTAGTATCTTGTTTAGCTAGTTCTGTGTCCCATGAAACAATGATAAAACCCTCCCAGTGCTGTGTCTGCTGTTGGCAGCGGCAGCATGCATAGCTGCAGTTGCTATATCACTGAGTGCACATGTTTAGTTCTTGTAAATAAAAGTGTAGTGTGGACTTGCTCCTTTTTCTCACCCAAAATTATGTATTTCCTTTACCAGGTTTATTCCTTTATATTGCTATGAAATGTTGAATTCATTTTAACAATACAATATCCACTCCCCACATGCACATACAGTAATTTAATGAAGTGAAAGTAGAACCAAAGTTCTGAGCCTCATACTTCATGCCCTATAATTCTCCACATATGAGGACATGCTCTGTTGCATGAAGTGTGCAGGCGACAGACAGACATCCTTGCTATTTTCTATTGCATCAAGTCTCTTGAGATAGACTGCAGAATGCTGTTATTTACTTTCCTCCCATTCTTCATGATAGTCATTTTAATACTTGTACCAAGATTTATAAGCACAGCTGACTTCCTGGTGAACAGCACTTGAAAAGATGACAGTCTTTCTGCCGGTCAGGAAATCTCCTGCCCTTTATGAAACCTAGTGGTTCACTGCTGCAGTCACAGAGCTCATCATTGGTCTTTGCCCTCCGCCAGGTGGATTCAGTCCACATTGTCCAACAAGACCCATTTTAAGCCTACTTTCCTTATTTTGAGAATACAAAATTATGCTTACGATATCACCATGCTGTCTGTGTCCACCCTGCTGTTAACTTTTGAATCCTGAACCAATCATTATGAAACTTGGTATGTTATCATGGCACCTGAGCCCATTTCAGCAGCATACTTCATCCCTTCCATCAGTCTATCTCCCTATCATTGCTAGGCAATGGCTTGGTAAAAATGTTAATGCAGCAACAAATACACAACAAAAGAATTGTTGGACATGCCATTTTGTATGCAGTCTGTGTTATATCAAACGAAAGTATGTGATTACTTCTTCCCAGAACATCTTGTAATATTACACTCTCTTCGCCTTGGTCTCTAAAAGTGATCCCTTTTGTGCAGACTTTCCGAACATAATTTTGTGTTTACCTCTCCTTTGCATGCTAAATGCCTCACCTACCTCATCCTCCTTGATTTTATCCTAATGTCTGGTGATAAGTGCAAATTATGAAGCTTTTAACTGTAGCTTTCTCCAGCCCCCTTTCATTTTCCCTCTCTCTTAGGTCCAAATATTGTATTCAGCACACTCAGTGTGTATTCAGGTTGAAAGACTATCACACCCATACAAAACAGGATGTAATATTGTTTTGTGGATTTTAATATTTGTGTTACTAAGATACCAGACAGTAATAAGACAAAACATTCCCCAAATGGAAATGAAATCTTGAGATATAGATGAGAAAATATTTAAGGCCATTTATTTTCTGTCATTTTAACTCATAATAATCATCATTTACATAAAACTATTACACAATCTTACATGCTATGAAAACTTGGTAAGGGTGCGTAGCATACAATATTACAGAAAGGTGAGACACTTGTGTAATATAATATAGAAATATGGAATGTTATTTCATAAGGCACTGCAATGGGTATGTATGTCAAGATGCAACAAGTCACACAATTCTCAGATGACAGGGTGGTGCATATGATTGGTTTCAACTGTTTAAGTACAATGGGAAACCTGGGAACAGATCCCTGGATGTGAAACTGAGCTGTTGTCATGCATAAAACACAGAAGTTCTCTAGATATTTTCCACATTTAAGTTTTCCCATAATGTGGACTATTCTGCACTATGTCAGTAGCATTGCTGTTTGGGGTGTGTTGTGTGTAATTCCATTCCCTAACAATCTGTTGAACATGTTCACATCCAAGCACATGTTTGAAAACCCAGAAGAACTGAGGCAATTCCTCCATGGGCAAATGGAAAGCTGAGAAAAAAGAAATGCATTTTTTTTTCGACCACATTCCAGGATTCACACCCCTACAATCCTCACATACTGTCTGACAAAATTTGTAAATGCTTCTTGCCATGAATGTGGCTCAACACGTTGACTTCAGTCTTGGGAACAGTGACCATGCATACTTTACACTTCATAACAGCATCCCCAAGACTCTCAAAGTATTTCCGGTGACCTTTCCATCTTTCACTAATCTTTGACCAGAGCTTGTCTTCTGCTGATAGTGTAAGCTGCCTTGCTAACAGTTTCTGCTGGTGGGGTTTGCCCCGTTTGTGCTGAATTGCATTGCTGCTGCTTCCTACAGGCACACTGCACACATGACAATAGAACACTCCATTACCAGTAACCACCATTTCACACTCAGCCTCTCTGTGCTCAGTTAGCCCTCTCTCATTGGAATTCCCTGTTACATGTTTGTCTGCATTCTCTTGACATGTACAGACCACAATGGAACTTCTTGCAGTGGTTGGTGACATGTGTTTCCAATTTATCTCTGTGGGTCTCACAGTTTCCAGCATCGCTGTCTGTGCTGCTTTCATTTTCTGCAGTTTGAGCACTTGTTGGTGTACACCAGTTTGATTATGCAAATCCACAGACAGTTTGTAGTCAAAGTCATGTATGTCGATACAGTCTTTGCACAGACAACACACATACTGCACATCCCTGAAAATCTCCATACCTGGTGTATCTTCAGGCAGGTTGCTTGGTAAGGATGCTGCCAATTCTTCACATTTTGAAATCGGTAATTCTGCCCCTGCTTGCTGCCATGAATGTGAATCGTTTGATTCATTATTATTACATAATTCTTGAACAAGGAAGTCACCCAGCCTGCTGTATAAGTAATCCAATCGTCGAAGGACATCTTTGGAGATGTTATCTTTTACCACGAAACTGTTCAGCAAGTTAATTACTGCATTCACATGTTCCAACAGTGAAACCTCGCTCTTATTCATCTGATATGGTTTGTATGACATCCCTTTGTTTCATCCACACGTTTTGTGTTCTGAAAATCAGAAGAATCAAGTGTGTATAAAAAACAGTCATCTTTAAAGGCAAGTAGACTTGTACTTAAAATACTTGTGTGTTTGTGTTTATGTAAGCAACTCTTCAAAGCACATTGGTTTTTATACATTAAATTACAAATAGTTTTGTGAAATCTCAAAATGCGGGTAATGGTTATTTGATTATACTACTGCAAACTGGGCATACCATCACTTGGGTTTATATATCAATATAAAGTGCCTAACTTTACACGATAAATGTATATAATTGGCACTGTCCAGGTTAGGCCATATTATATATATCCACTAATAACTTTATTCAACCACACAGTACTTCTTTCTGCACACCATGACTGGCATTATACATTCGACACATTCTAATCGTTCTAATGACGTTTTCATTGCTCATTGTTTCATTATCGTTTTTTTTTTTCATCCGATACAGTGTGACCAAATTGATATTCATGAAAGTACAGAATATGTTGTTGGTAATCCTGACGATTTCTAGAAGAATTTCGGAATATTAGAAGGCAGGAACGGCAGAAAGTAGGCTAGGTAAGCATGTGTTATAATTGTAGTCGCGTGGGCGTATTTGCACGTAGAAACGATATACTTTATCTAAACCGCTGTGGTTACGATATATGTCATCTCCTTTAACACAGAAAGGCTTGCATTTTTCCCACAGAGTATTTATTAATGATACTCAAATAACACTCATTATTATTTTCCCAAACATTATTAACTAATTGGCCCTTATAATGGACACCCAGTCTGTTTTGAAAATAGTTATGAACTGAATTGTTAAACGTTTAGATAAATTTCAGGCAAATGCAATGACTACAGTCTCTTTTGAAGTGACGCCATTTAGTTGCGTTGATGTAAAGAATTTTCATAACGAAAAGGCGACACGTATTAAGAACGAGGTGTCACAAGATCATTTAGGAATTAATACTTCCACTAGCACGGTCCATCTTCTGATTTGATTAAACAAGTCGTTTGTATTATGAAATGTTATGTCTTTAGATGAAATATCCAAATTATATGAAATTTCCGATAGATGGAACCAATTTTCCGAGCGTTTGGAGGCCTTGAGCGGGAATACGGTGATGATTACTTTTTGATGCCTTCAGCTATTTATTTGAACATACTGGTTGTAGCGTTTCGTAATGAAATGACGTTCGTTTCATTTACGGTGCGATCTTGTAGAATGCGTGCCAACTATTTTAATCGATGTTTACATTTCTATTTTTCACAGAGTAGAAGGTATCTTGAAGTGAGATATTCTAATTTTGGGAATACCACTATTTCACGAACTTCAACTTATCAGTGTCATTTGCCGAAAACGCACATTATACCAACATGTTTTCTCATACTGCCACAGCATACGCGATGGTACGTTCTAATAAGTTTAATCTCTTAAAATTGAAATTTGATGCATGCATTCAAGATTTCGGCAGGTGGTGAAATGAAACTTCTGAGGATGTTTATGTTACTCTGGGGATATTGTAATGTATGGTTAAATGAGCATTTCATTTAAGTAGAACCAAACAGGTCACCATCATCACCATCACCATCATCCGTATTTATTCATGTTATATAGATCCTAACTCGGTATGAAAACCATGGATATGGAACTTGTGATACCAAGTATATTTTATATGTGGAAGGAATTAAACGGCAAGTCATGCAGTGAGTACATTTGAAAGACTGGTGCCATTTTGAAGAAACTTCTGATGTGTTCCTGTAAAAGTAATATGAATCTATAATTATCATTGTGGTGGGCTTCTGTGATTACTTACAGTGTACCTTGAAATTCTATGAAAGACCTGGAATATCTTGATCAGCTAACTCACTATTAAATTCTCAAGAAGGACTGTGCCCGATGTAGTTATTTGTTATTGTACTATTTCAGATTATGTTTTCTGGTTTATAAAACTGTGCTTTCATCACCACCTATGAAAGTGTATACAGTTTCATAACCCAGGAGACCAAAATCTTAATCTTCACTGCCATGAAGCTCAAATCTCATCATTTACCACTCAGTTTTTCTCATCTACCATGAAGGTGGAGACAGCAAGTTCTGAAGTGCTAATGAAGTGAAGTGAAGTGAAGTAACAGATCATGCTAATTGGACCCCATGTCTTTACAGTGAGATATTTTTCTCAGCTATGATCATACAGTTTCAAGCAAAGAAGAAATGGTCCTTGATCTTTTTGGGTGGCTACCCTCAACAGTGAAGTGTGTTATGTGTTGCATTCCTAATGAAGAAACCCTGGTACAGGATAGATTCTTTGGCGTGGCTAATTATCTTTTTTAAGAAATAAACATCAGTACTTGGGGTACAGCATCACTAGTGGGTGGCCATATATATCTATATTTTCCAGCTGAGTTTATTTACAGTCACTGTTTTGATCTATCATTGAGTTTTGTAATGTTACCAGCCCTAACACAGATAATTCAAGCAGAACTGACATGGTTGTTTACTGGGAAGACAAGTCTATGTATAAGGTTCTGATTCAGGTTACAGGGACACTTAGTAATAGGTGATATACAGGGTGTCCCAGGAGGAATGGACCAAACTTCGGGAGGGTGTTCCTTATGTTAAAGTATGCCGATATAACCCAAAACACCTATGTCCAAAGTTGAACGGTTACGGAGATAATGGCCCGAGAAAAGTGTGGTCTTCTTGCAGGTCCACGCACTGTGGACAGTCAGCTGTGACTGTTATCTGTTTGTACTTGAGTGTGGTGATGTCACACTAGCCGTGATCTCATGCGCAACCTACCAGAGCCTACACAGATTACGTTGCGGCGGGGTCGTGAATGGGTGGTAAATTAGTTGTGTGATGAGTTGCTGAAATGCCTCTTGTGTTTTCACACGTGGAATATTGTGATATGCATTTTGTGTGTGGATTTTGCGGTCGCAATGCACGTGCTGCTGTTGAAGAATACCAAAGGCGTTTTCCCGATCGAAGGATTCCATCTCGAAGTGTATTTACGCGAATTCACCAGACATTGCGTGATACTGGTTCTCTTGCAAGTGTTTCTGTGCACTCTGAAAGGCAGGATGTACGAATGATAGACACACGAGAGCACATTCTTGATATTGTTCAGTGAAGTCCGCGTCTATCACTCGTAGAATCGCCTCTCGCATCGGCGTATCACGTATTCAGGTGTGGCAAACTTTACATCATGAAGAGTTATTCTTACCATGATCAAATGGTACAACATCTGGAACCAGGCGACCATGCACAGCGTATGGATTTGTGCCACTGGATAAAAAGTTCATCCCGAACTGTTAAGCGTCATTTTATTCAGTGATGAGGCGTCTTTTACCCTGGATGGTGTAAATAATTTACGAAATGTGCATACGTGGTTCCATAATAATCCACATGAGATAATGGAAACGAAATTCCAAAAGAGATTTCCTGTGAATGTACGTTTACAGTTATGTGGTCGGGTTATAGCGCAGCCATATTACGTCATCGCTCGCCAGTCATGTGTCATGTATAGTGCTTGGAAACCTAAGGACAATTATGACATGGCGAGCGAGTATTTCGTACTTCAATTTTATGGCTTTCCGTCACTCACAAGTTAGTTTGATGTTACGTACATTATTAACATTACAGAATCCACATATTCCTGCCAGTTTTAATATGTATTTTATAATCAACAAGTGTGTAACACCGGTCAAAGTTTGACACTTCTCTGGCCATTATCTCCGTAACCGTTGAACTTTGGACATAGGTGTTTTGGGTTGTATCGGCATACTTTAACATGAGGAACACCCTCCCGAAGTTTGGTCCATTCCTCCTGGGACACCCTGTATGTGGTGAAGTATAAACTGGATGTAAAAAAAAAATGGTAAAGTTGCCCCTGTGCTTAACTAATTCATCATCATCATTTATTAGTTCACCATAGATCCATTGAGAAATTACATTCTGTGGATGTGGTTACTGTCATGACAGCTTAAATACATAGTGCAGCAACGCATTAGTCAACAGCACATATGTAGTACATAATATATGTGTATAATAAATACATTGTAAAACATTAGAAGATATATATTAAACATAATCCTGTATTATACAATATCAATACACTCAAATGAGTTTACATTTGTAATTAAAATACTCATTCACCAAATAAAAAGAGTTTGCATATAAAAATTTCTTTGGGAAACCCAAAGGATATTTTATCATTGGATAACTGTCCAAGTTCCCTAGCTAAGTGGTTATAAATCTTTATATCTGAATAGGTATAACTTCTGAACTTTACTAAATGAAGTACTTGTGGGGGGGGGGAGATAGGTTAACATTTTGTCTGGTATCAATATTATGGACCTCAGTATTTCTTGTAAGCAGATGTATGTTATTTGCGGTATATTGAGTCAAAGAATATACAGGTGAACCTCGCTTAACGAGCATAATTTATTCCAGAATCTTACTCGTAATGTGAAACACTCGTTAAGCAAAACAGTTTTTCCCGTATAAATTAATGTAAAATACGATAACGTGTTCCATGCCAAAAAAAAATACTCAAAAAATTGTATATATAACGTAGAAAATTATATATACGTTGTTAAGGAGCGTGAATCATCTTCATCTTTTCTTTTATGCAGAATGAACCAACCTGGAATGTGAATTCGATTTGCAGAAAAAAAATCGAAATAATTAGTTTATTACTTATGATACATATGTAATTCTTTTTTTACTAGAAAGCTGTCTAGAGACATTTGTTTTTGCCGACGCTTCAAAATTTGGTGAAAATGCGCACAGCATTATCATTAAATAAATTTGTAGCGCGCATAGCCACTGCCTTATTAGGGTAGTGCTTCGCAGTGTACGATGCAACAGTTTCCCATGCTTTCAGCATTTCTCTTATTGCGTCAGAAGATTGTTGCTTTGCTGTTACCTCCTCCTCCAGAACTTCTTGCTGTGAAACACAATGCAACTCCAACTCGTGCAAATCGTTTATGTGGACCGATTGTATGTGCGTGCTAGATCAGCCACGCTCACACCTTGTTCTCACTTTTCAATGATCTTACGTTTCATTTCTACAGTTATTTTTATTCTCTCATTGCTGTCTTTTTGCGGCTTTTTCTTCAGTGACATTTTTGCATGGGTTATTAAACTTTGCATAGAAAAAAATCATAAATAAAATGTCTGAGAACAAGTTTGGAAAAATGTGTGATCACAAGTGACACTAAGTTGCTAGCAGGATGAGTGCTAAACACAGACTGATGTAGCAAGCGCACAATCCGGGACTTCCCCTCTCGTCATTCGTTATGCGAATTGTTGCTCATTAAGCAAGTCATTTTTTTACAATTTGTTTTGCTCATTATGCGAATTACTCGTTATGAGAGGTGTTCATTAAGTGAGGTTCCACTGTATATATGTATATATTGAGAGCATGAGGGCAAAATTTTCATTTTCTTAAAAGAATCTATACATGAATCTTTTTACTTTAAGCCCATTATGATCCTTATAATGTTCTTTTGGATCCTAAAAAGTTTTGTGGTATAAGAAGAATTACCCCAAAAGATAATTCCATGTGTCATAATAGAATGTATATAGGCAAAATTGATCATTCTCAGGCTTTTTGATGACATAGGTTTAATGGTTCTCATAATAATACATGACAAACTTGACTTAGTAACAAGGTAGTTAATGTGATTTTTCCAAGATAGCTTATTATCAGTATTTAAGCCCAAGAATTTAATACACTTAGAATTAGCTGGCAAATTATGACTAATATTGTTATGCATACTGTAGTCATCATGGCTCATTGTTATAAACCGAAAAATATGGGTTTTATTAGCATTTAGTTTTAACAGATTGATTCTAAACTATGTATTAACCTCGTAAAGTATAATGGTCATAGTTAATTTATAGTCCTATTTCGGATTAGTCACAATTATACTTGTATCATCTGCATATAGAAAAATGTTTGCCCCATTAATTGATACCTGAGTTTTATCATTTATATACAAAAGAAAAAAGTGGGCCAAGAATTCAACCTTAGGGGACTCCAAATTTTACTTCTGCCCCACTAGACAAGTTATTTATAGAATTATTTGCACCAAGATTTACTCTTTGGTTTCTGCCTTTAAAGTAAGATTTAATTAAGGCATCAAAGTTACCAGTGATTCCATAAAACTCCATTTTTTGTGTCATGGCTGACAGTCAAATTTCTTAATATAAATCACAAAATATTCCTCCAACAAATTGTTTATTATTCATAGCTTTTAATATTTCCTCAATTAATTTGAAGGATGCTTTTTCTGTAGATGAATTGGACCTAAAGCCATACTGATTATTATCTAACATAATTGCTGTCAGTATGTTAATACGGTCTATTATATATAACCCTCCTGAATACTTTGGAAAAGGTTAACAATAATGATATAGGCCTATAGTTAGATAGTTCATATTTATTACCGTTTTTTAAAATTGGCTTGACAGTAACAAACTTCAGTCTATCCAGAAAAATTCCCTGGCCAAGGGACTGAGTACAAATATAAGTAAGTTTTCATTTTGTGCATCCTGTTGTATCTATTGTATACAGTTCCTTATTGGAATCCATCCTTAACACAACATAAGGGTCAAGGTCAGCATTACCTTAGCTACATGTTTCAGCTTTTAAAGCCATTATTATTATTATTATTATTATTTACTTCATCCATAGCTGTAGAGAATTACAATTGGACATGTCAAATATCAACAACCTCACATCAAAAATAATATAACATTCACACAGTGATTCATCACTGTAATACAGCAACACATTTCAAACCACATTTTTAGCTTAATTTAAGAATAATAAATACTCCAAAAAGAGACATAAGAATAAATATTTTAAACATATAGACAGATATATTATCAAGCAGTTTACGTCAGCAATTAATAATAATAAATACTCCAAAAAAGGCATAAAAATATACAGACAGATCATCAACAAGCAGTCCATGTCAACAATTATTAAAAAAATTCTTGAAGAGAATAGAAGATATTACACAACAAATAATTCTTAAGTTTCTTCTTAAAAACATTGAAGTTTATTACATTCTTTAATTCAGTTGGAAGGCCATTAAATATTTTGGTTCCCATACTAATCACCCCTCTCTTGCTACGCTCAGTATTACAAAATTGTACATACAAATTGTGTTTATGAATAGTGTTATAGCCATGAACATCAGAATACTGGGTGGTATATATCTTATTTTTTATTGTAAAACATAGGATCTCAAAAATATATAAGTAACAGTTAAAATCTTTAATTCACAACACAAATTTCTACAGGAAACTCTATTTTTAACACCTTTTGTCACCCTTACACATTTTTTCTGCAGTTTAAATAGAGTTACAGAGTCCTTTTGCACCCCACCCCAAAAAATAATACCGTATTTCAACACAGGCTCAAATTTTGCAAGATACACACTTCTTAAAACAGTTTGGCTCACTGAGTCCTGTAGGGATTTTATCAAATAGATAGTCTTGCTAAGTTTTTGACACACATATTGGGTGTGGGCTGCCCAACTTAAATCTTCAGTAATGCAAATACCCAAAAATTTTACATCCACTGAACAAACCACCTCATTATTTATATAAAAGAGGGGTCTGATACTTGGAATAGATCTACTTCCCCGAAAAAATAATACCTTTGACTTATCCATGTTTAGTATTAAACTTTTTTCATAAAACCATTTTTCTAATTTATTCCTTACATTTTGAATTTTTTCATTTAATGATAAAATATTTTTTCCAGTAATAAATATATTTGTATCATCAGCACATAGTACTACCTCTGCATTATGTATAACTCAGGGCAGATCATTTATAAATAATAGGAATAAAAGGGGTCCCAAAACAGAACCTTGAGGTACACCATATTTAAGTGAGCTAAGGTAATGTTGACCTTGACCGTTATGTTGTTGTGTCACGACGAATTCCAGTAAACAATTGAATAAAAGTAAGTGGTGAAGTTATATATGGTATACTTGGTTCTAAGATTCTAGTGGAAATTTTGTCATGTCCATGTGAGGATTTGGTCTTTATAAAGATTTGATTATCTTTCTAATATCGGTAGTTGATGTATAATGCCACTTAATGGATTCACAGGTACACATGTGCTTATTGTCTAAATAATGTATTGTAATTAGGCATTATGCCATGAAGACAGGAAGCTTTAGTTTTCTTGGGAATAGTCTTGCAGTGGAATGCCCCCTCCCCCAATGTGGCAACAGTGGTTGCTTAACACAAAATTTTTGTTACTCTTTTGTATTTTTTGTTTAAGGTTCAGTTTCATTAGTTTGTAGTCCTAACTAGTCCATGTGAAATTTGTGTAGGTCAGGTCACTTCAGTTAAGGGATGCCCATGTGTGCTGTCAGATGGGACTCATGTGAGGTGTAGTACCAGTTTGTTTCTGTTGTTCTGTTGCAGCACAATGACTGATGCTGAACACTTTGTTCTCCCAAATGAGCAGCCAGTAGTGGAGCTTGACTGCACAACTGCTTTCAAATGTCTGACTCCCAGAGAGAAGTTGTATGCACACTACTTGAGTCGGGCTTCATGGAATGGCAGCCTCATCATTCTTGTGCAGGTGGGTTCTGAAGCATGAGGGCCATTTTGTTAGCTTGATGTGCCTAGGACTGCCAGTTGACAGACTTTTCATTTTGCAGACCTCACCAGAGGCCCCACTTGTGTTTGTGTTGCTACACAAACTATTCTCTCTTCAGCCTCTTTCTGAGCTGAAGAAGGCTGCACTGGGGGACCAGGGAGTCACACCTGATGAGTTCCAAGTAAGTGATGAACATGCAATGGCAACCAGTCATCCTTCTATCTTCTCTGTTAAGTAGTTGAGCTTCACGTTCTCATGTGATGTGATACAGTATAGTCTCGATGCTGACTGTATCAGGGCCAGGATCAGATACTGTTGGCTCATCTGTATGTAGTTCTATCTGCCTAACATCACTGACCCTATATGCATTCAGTAACTGAAAGTAGTACTTCTTCCACCTATTCAAAATGCTATGGAAATCATCAAGCAGGTCACCATTCTCATCCTTCACTAAATTACTTCTATGTTGGTAACCCCATTAAAGTCATTTATTCCTCTGTACAGGTCTGTATTGTTCTTGTTCTTACTGTTCATTGCAAGCTCATCAATTTTGTCTTTCAGATATTCTCTCATTTTATTCTTGAAATGCCTGCTGGCTTCACATCTTATATTGTTCAAATTATCCCCATTCATATATGTAATAATAGAAATGCCGTTGTGAATGCAACAATTTATTTGGTTGTAGATCTTTGTCTTTTCTTCCTCTACACTACATGTTTTAGCCGTAATTGGCCATCATCAGGTGTATTTTTCACTATGTAGCTGTCACACTGCACACAGTCCAAAATCTAAAACATCAGCCTGTCAGTTTTGTTTTAAAATCTCATCAACACACACTCATCAATTTCATTTTAGAATTACAGTTTAAAACTTACAATTTCTAAAATTTAAAGTTTTAAATACCAGGGACACCTCTTGTCTACATGTGTTGCAGCAGCTATTTCTTTTTTTCTGCACTGTTCATGTATTATCTGTAATACACAAATATTCGTATTACTATCCTATGTTCCTACGTTATTCTTATATGTTTTAAACTGTTGTGTGTACTTACTCTGTGCAGAGCGGCCTCCGTAGTCTAGGGGTAACGTTCCCACCTCATGACTCAAGGTACGCGGGTTCAAACCCGGCAGAGATCGTGGAATTTTTGAGGGCGGAAAAATTCAGGGAACAAGTCCTCTGGGAGGGACTTTAAGCCGTGGGTCCCATGTCGTAGCTTTATGGCACGTAAAAAAACCTCGTGTCTCCAAAGGAGCCCACTGAGCTAAATTAAGGACATTTCCCGCCCAACAGTAGTCTCTAACGCCCCTGGTAGATGGGGGAAGCATTGAGATACCTCTGATCCAGTAGAGGCCGACCTCGCTGGCTGAGTAGGGACTGATGGTAAGCACCAATACCAGTAGAGTATAGAGGCTGGTAGAAGATTATAGGGGGGCGCACAATAGATCAAACTGGTCGCGGTGCATGGGGAAACCCACCCCCTCCAATAATAATAATAAATAATACTCTGTGCAGGCTCCCTGTGTGTGTGTCGCTGCTCATCTTTAATACTTTTGTTGTCTGGTGTGTTGTGTTTTTATGTTATTGAGTGTAGGAGAAGTGGAGAGTGAGAGGGGTGGATTTCTTCTGCCACTGCCGTGAGCGAACCTGCCCTATACACACACTCTGACACTCCAAATACTAAATCTGATATTCATTTTCTTTCACTTATGTTGTTTATCCAAGGAATCTATTCAGATCCGAGGCTTCTTGTGATCTTTCGTAACAGGCTTATTTTTCACAGTGATAAGTTTTTAGCCCAACCCCCAAGCTGGAGGACCACCCCTTGTTGGCTGTCCATGACTGCTTATTCAATATATTCGCAGCTACCTTTCATACCTGGAGGGTGTCTCGTCCAACCTGAGGAAATGCCATGCCATGGTGACAAGGGACCCACCTAACATGGGCATCATGCCTACAAGGAAGAGAATATCTGTCAGTACATATTGCCAGGCAGTGATTAAGGGACTTCTGGAAAATTTCAGTAGACCAGGGTCTGATAAGAGGAGAAGAAATTCTGATGGTTGGTTTGGCTGAGTGAATGGCACTTCATTTGAAAATACATGTCACCATCCTTAATGATGTGTTTGCTCTATGAGATCATCTCAGTGCAAGTGCATGGGGAAGAGAACAGTAAGAGGAAGCAGGGTTTGTTCCTCTGTCCAGTCTGTCTGGGACAACCTGCACTGTGTGTTATCCCTTATTCTGAGAGGTACCACGCAGCCAGAGACTACAGAATGGACTGTAAATGGTAGGAGTGACTTTCGTAAAGTGCTAATTGGCAAAAGAAATCAGTTTCTAAAAGCAGTAAATTTAAATTGAGAAAGATCTTTTTAAGTGTTTTTAATATTGAGTTTATTCACCCAGTGTAAATATTTTGACTTAAGAGTAAATGCACAACAAAATACTTGAACCCATCTTAACCCTACTGAAATGTGAGCAAAGAATTCTATATAAAAGCACACTCTCCACCTGAAAAGCATTTTATTACAGTTGGAGAACTTTGGTTTTAGCAATGGACTTGTGTAAGTTTTGTTATTATTAAGTACATGGATGGTAATGAGATGTCCTTTTGAAATGGAAGCCTTCAGTCCTGTTCCAACCCATCAGTCTACATATGTGTGTAGTGGGCGAACTGTATATGCAGTTGGTCTACATTGTCTATACACTTTGACATCACATAGGTACTTCGCTCTGAAAGACCAGATGTTGTGCTGTTCAATGGTAACTTTTTGGTTAACAGAAATGTTTTTTACAACTGAGAAACAACGTTTATAAATGTTTACAAAATTGAAGCATAAATATTATACAAGTGCAACTAAAAATCAAAAATATTTTTATGTACATGGGAATCTTGACAGAACATCTGGTTTATAGTTTACACCTTCTGAGATAACTGTAATTGTGATGAAGTGCAGAACAGTAGCAGTTGTTTAATATGAGATGTGCCTCAGGTACATTTTTCTGAATATTTTCTTTGTAGAGGAGGACATGCTCATTCAGAATACACCACTTTATGCATTTTAATGTGGACGTCCTTCAGTGTCATCTTCTCTTTCTCACTGGGTAGGAATTATGAACCGTTCTCCTGAAAACTTCTTTGTCAAAGTCATCTCACCCACTTTTACACCTTTTTTTTTATATGTTGTTGAAAATACTTGTTGTTATCTGCATGTTTGGAAGAGGAGTGGCGATACCTATCTCGCATTCAGATGTCATGAACTTGCATACATATTGGCATTCACAGTTTCTTTTTACTCACTTCACGTTACTGAGTTTCTGAAGCAGCATTCTCATAGTTGAGATCAGCATATTTCTGTGAGGGGTACATTTGCTACAAATGGGCACACACACCTTGCCAGCAGTCAAGTGAACTGTCTGCCTATTATATTTTCTGCCACCAATAGACAATAATTAACTTCTGTATATTTCTCTAGAAAGTAATGACATTATGTCAGTGTTGGAACGTAACTGGAATAATATATGGTAGAGCAAAGACAGTAAGGAAGGAGCATTTGGAATGGAAGAGGGTGTGGTATAGTGTTTTAGTGCTGCTTGATTTTTGTTGCTACTCCACATTTAACCCTTTGACGTGGTCATTTAAATTCCGCGGCCGCGGCTCCTGCGGTAATATATTCAGCCGGCCATTTAAATTTTGCTCGAAAATTATTTATTCATCATTGTTCTTAAATTCTATGAGATAGGAACATGAAACTTTCACTAAAATGATCTTAAATGGTGGTTTTATAACCTTACCTTATAATATG